ACATTTCTCTGTCGTCTTTTTTTCTTTTTCCACAGCTAATCATAGATCAAATTTGAATTAAAGAGGAGGTATATCTTTTTTAATTGATGTTAAATGTACTATAAGCATGCCCGAGCCCCAAACTTAAATAGGGGTGTGTGCTTCATGTGTTTTCTTTAAACTCCTGCTCTAAAAGGGAGTCTCCACTCTATTCCTCTCATCTCTGTTCTCATATACCTCACCCTCTGCCTTAGTTTTGGTTTGCTGATGACTGTAAATTAAGAGGAAACAAACTTCATTTATTTGTTTCTGAAAACAGACAATGCTAAGTAAGGATATTAAAGTTTTTCCTTTTATTTTTGTACGTATGTGCTGTGCACAGCAGTCTACTGTATTCCTGAGATAACAATAAAAGTTTTTTTTTTAACTGGTTGCTGGTAAAGTGTCGTTTTCTCCCTTGGATCAGTTGAACTGTGGTCTAGACGTGTATTTATGAGTGGTGGAGGAAGTACTCAGATATATTGCTTGAGTAAAAGTAGCACAGTATAGAAATACTTAGGAGTAAATATACAAAAATTAGATATCTATTAGTTTAACTGTATAGCCCATTTACCTGTGGGAAAGATAAAAGTTTTTTAAGTTTTGTTTTGATTGAAGTGCATTTGGAGTTTAAGTCCTCAATTAAAAATAACTTTCTATTTTTGAGAGAAGCTGTTGAAAACAAGATCAGGAGTATTCAGTATACTGATATAAAGTTGAATGTGTCCTATGCTGAAACTACAGCATCCAAAAATAGTTAAGTCAGTCAAATGTAACTCCCAGAGTCTCAAAGTAAAAGCTGTACTGGTTAAGGGAGTGACTCCCTCTGCTGGTGGAATGGTGTGTACATGTTAAGGCAGGTGCGTAAAAGCAGCAAACTGAACTTCACAATATAACTAAACGACCAGTCCAGTAAACGAAACTGTTTTTCTTTTTAAATATAATACTCGAAAAATGTGTAATGCATCAAGAATACTGGGGGCTGCACCAATTGGATACCTGAATCTGACCTATACACATCTAACTAACATTATATGTTATTCCTGATTTAATAAAGAAAACCTTTTTTCTGCATTAATGTCATTCATTTTTCTTTCTTTTTTAAAATGTATTCTTTCTTGCACTTTGTTTTTATTTTTTATTGTTTACACTGCTCAATGCACAATGTTTCCAGTCTTAACAAAAAAACTACAGCCAATGGACAATTATGAAATATTCTTAGAATAAGGATTAAGGTGGATGAGTCAAGACGTGTCACCAAAAATAAGAGTCCAGTCTGACCAAGAGCATCGGGATAAACAGAGGTGGAAGTGGCCCTTCCGCTGCAGCACACCCGCACATCTGCTTTGGGGGCGAGTTTCTTTTTTTTTTACGCAAAGGATGTGAGCAGGAGTGGCACTCGGTGGGCTTTAAATAGGAACTGTCTCCAAACTTTGGGACAACAGAGCATCTGAAAACTTCCAGCAGTCGCAGTGGAAAGGTTTGCTCCAGGATGGACGTTAACAGGAGACTTGGGATAAAGGATGCTGTGCTGGCGCTTTTACTCGCCGTATTCCAGGGATTTCCTCTCGGGGAAACTGCCCCGAATCCTTCACCGTTGGTTGGATCCAACTGGGGGAACCCGAGGAGATATATCCACCTGCAGACATCCACAGAGCTCAACAACTTCTACTTGGAGATCAGATTGGATGGCACTGTGCGCAGGACTACATTGAGGAGCTCATATAGTAAGTCCCAGTATTTCTATTTTCTTTGCAATGAGGCAAAATGAAGTTCTGTCTGTAAAAGCTAATACTCACTAACTTTTACTTCCTGCAGGTGTGATTTTACTGAAATCCGAGACCAGAGAGCGCATTGCCATATTTGGCGTCAAAAGTAGCCGTTACCTGTGTATGGATCTGGAGGGCAACCCATTCAGCTCGGTAAGACGAATATTACTTTCACTTTAATGTCTGTTAAAAATCAACCTTCTACTAAATATGTATTTTTAAATATTTCTAACTTTTGAGGTTTCACGCATCGTTTTTAACATCGCTTATTAGGAGTTTAATTGTACGCACAAACGTATACTGCAACTATAGAATATTTAACCATCAAATCATTTGATTATTTTTGATAAGCCTCTTTTGATCCAAGTATTGTTATTTTTCATTAAATCGATCATATACACGTTTTGGTTAATACTTGGTAACATTAACAACGTTAGGTTTAGGCATCTTTTTCAACACGTCTTGCTCTGCAGTTACGCACAATTTGTACTCCAATTATAATTTACGCATGGGTTTATTCATTGGATTTCTTTTGCTATGGAGAGTTAAAGCAGCCTACCGAACAAGCAGAGAGGATACTCAATGGATTTGAAAATCATTTCATCCCAAATGATTTTCAAAACTTCTATTTGCCACATTTTTTGACAGAAATAGCCAATCTAGTTAAGTAATAGTACAGTAAAGTTAAATAGAGTAGGCAATTTCGGAGACTTTACTGAATCAAACAGATTCCATGAACTGACAAAACTGTCCGTATTATCTTGCATTTATTAAAAATAACATATGCCTTCGCTGTTTCATGTTCTCCCCCTCTGCTCCTGTCTTACAGCCCACTTGCCTCAGGGACGACTGTCTGTTCAACCACAGGCTTCTGGAGAACAACCGGGATGTGTACTTTTCCAGCCGGACCGGCATCCTCTTCAACCTGGAGGGCTCCCGGCAGGTGTTCGCGGCGGGGCAGAACCTCCCGCAGACCGCCCTCTTCCTGCCCAAGATGAACACGGTGCCGCTGGAGCGCCTGCTGCTGCATCGGGAGAAGAGGAACCAGGTGGTGGACCCCTCCGACCCGCACAACGTCTACCTCGGTCAGACCGAGGAGGGCTCGGACTCTCGGGCAGTTCCGGAGGAGGACGCAGATCTAGAGGTGGAGTTGGAGGTAGAGGTGGAGGTGGAAGTCGGAGATGATGGGCGCAACGTTTCCCGGGAGAACCCGCTGGCTCCATCCACCCACGACCCCTGGAACGTGCACTCGTCCAACCCGGCCAGCCCTCGCAGCACCGGGATCATGGGCTGACTTTTGTGGTGACTGACATGGATATGTTTACCAAGTTAGACCAAGTTGCAGTGATTTGCAGCCCCTTTTGCACAACTTGTGTTACAACTCAACAATTTGAGATCACAAAAGAACAACAAGTTCAATCTATAATAAGGCGTTACATTGATTCATTTCATAAATAATTAGTTTTTTGTACATCCACACAAGCAAAATTATAAAACAAATATTGCTTCATTTTACAACTGAGAAACGAAATCTTATTTTTGTGCCAAGATCCAAAATCCTTTCCCATCCAGAGCCATTACAGTAATGGAGCTATAGCTAAGATGACACTTGGTCGTACAAATGTATTGGAATTTCCTAAATACAGTTTGGCTGGCCTTAAGACGATTTATTTTAGCGTGGATCTAATAGTTTACCAAAGCAAACTTATAATTTAATAATCACAGTCGGCATGCATTTTTTAAAGACTCTTTTCAATAGGTTTTTACAGCTGGTCTGAGGAGCCCACACTTGGCAGTGACATGATGTTATATCAAGACAGGAGCCTATCATAGCCCACCTCTGGAGGACTGAAGGCCCTGTCTACTGAGGCATGATTTTAAATCAAATATATATACATTAATATACATAAGAGTTTAATTTACTAGAGTTAATGTTAAGTTTTGCCTTTATTTTAAAGTATTACGTTTACTGAATTGGACAAGACATAGAAGATTTGATGTTTGTATATTGTCAGATTTGAACTTAAACAGCAATTCAAACATCTTTTTAAACTACAGACAACTACAGTACTTGTTTTGTAAATGTTTCTGTATTTGTACAATCTAATTCATGACTTGAACGGATATTACGACAAGGTAAAAATCCTTTACAGAGCATTCATCTTGAAGCACACCTAAACTCCTGCTGTGTGATTTTTACAGGTGCTGGGCACCACCGGCAAACACTTAAACCAGTCCCAAAGAGTATTTATTTATTTAATTCCATTCCTTTATTGTTATTTATGGTATTTATGAGGATGCTTTACAATTGAAATGTACATACAAGAAAACATGGTTTGTCTTTGAATGTATGGGTTAGAGTTGTGGACGTAGTGTTTTGGACAAAATAAACTAAAGGAAACATGTATGGTGTTGTGTGTTATTTAGGCAAATGTATAAGGATGTGTCTTAGTGTTCTAATTTGGCAAAAACCTGTGCTGTTGGACAGGAAGTACTGAATGAGTAAGCAGGTTTAACATTGAGCCAGTTACTCAGCAGTTCCACTCATTATAGCTGGAAATCCTGCACTTTAATTAGCATACAGGTACATGAGTCAGTTCACTCTAAAAACACTCTGTGACGATGTTACTCTCTTTTTAACTTGTTACCCATTAACTAGGATAACAAAGTGTTTTCAATCCTGTCATCTGGCACTAACTCTATAGCTGCAGCATATTGAAACTCTTTCAGAATACACATCTGTAATGGACGTTAAAGTTCATCATGGTGACTCCAGTAAAGCGGTGGCTTTTTCAGGTCTCTAAAGATGAGAAAATGAACTAAATCAGCTGTTTAAAGATACGATTGAAGCCACTAGGCCTTTTCTCCTCCCAGTGGTGGAAGATGATCCATTTTTATCTGAGTACAAGTAACAGGCAACCACAAAGTGAAAATACTGCATTCAAAAGTACAAACGTAAAAGTAGTCATATTGCAGGATGACCTAATTCATATAATTATATATCCTATTATTGAATTAGTTGGAGCTCGTTTTTTTTTTACCACTGGTAAGTGAAATGGTTCATTCCTTATATGATGTAATAAGAATAAGAGCTACCTTTATCAGCTGCAACATTAAAGTGATGTAAACATGATAACATCACACATTATAATCCAGTAATAATACATGATTTTGAAAAAGGCCATTCTGTATCATGGGGACTTTTGAAGTTGGTACTGGTTCAAATTTATTTATTCTTTTACAGACTTTGAATGCAGGACCTTTACTTATTGTACTATTTTAACTTAAGTAACATATCTGAATTCTTCTTCCACCACTGACAATAACAATGAAAAAGCAATCTAGAAAGAGTCCACTTTCCTCTATTTCATCTTCTGTAATGCATTAGTTGTTCCTTTAGGTTTATTTCAAGTCTTCAGTTTTAAGATGTTAGCTTTTGGCATTAATATAAATAGATTGGATTTTCTTTGAAATATTGAGGCCATGACCGACAGCGAAGCACAAAGCATTCAGAGGGGATCAAAAAGGGACTCTAAAAATAGAAAGACTAAAAACAACCATTGAACGACAAAGAGTTGGACGGATTTCATATATTTGAGTGATATGTGCATCCTGTATTATTTATCAGACTCGACAAAGATTCAGGTTTGTCATGTTGTATTGCACAAGTGAAATGAGCAGCAGCATCACAAGATACGCATCACATTTAAAAATGCCACGCACACGGAGTGTTCAAACTTACATTAAATAGTTCTGACTTTGGTATAACATGATAAAAGAGGCAATAAAGTTATATTGAATACTTAAATTCTCACTGGCCTCACTTGGGAGGATGAAGGAACAGTTTGACAATACAGTACTGGACACTTATCGTTGATTCTAAGTAAAACGTTATATATATATATATATATATACACACACATGAATGAGAACACATTATTTCTCAGTGTGCATTGCTTGAAGTATTTCCCTGTTTTTTCGGTTTAGTGTTCATGATTCATGATTGTTCCCATCATAGACTCTGTACATCTGCACACCAATACACCAACGCCGTACAAAAAACTTTTATCCCATCTCTTTCCCTCCACACTTTTCAGCAGCTGTGAGGTTCCCCAGGTGCTCCTTCCTGTTGGTGAAGCAGCAGCGAGCAGCAGAGAGGACGGGGCCCGACTCGGAGGGGCTCAGGGTGAAAACGAAGCGACTGATGCCCGTGTTTGGACATGGAGAAAACACTTGGGACATCTTGGCCCCTGCAGGCAGAGAGCTTTTTAAGTCCTCCAGGAGGTGCTTGATGGCCACACGGATGTAAGCTCCGTGGCTCACGACCAGAGCGTGGACCGACGCTTCCTGGAGCCCGTCCTCAGCCGAGCCACCAGGAGCCCGCTCCGAGGCAGCAGCTGCCATCCCGTTTGCAGCCTCAGGTGCTCCCGCCCTGCCGTGTTCATCCGATAATTGCTGGAAAAGGGCTTTGAGGAACTTTTTGAATCGTAGCTTCACCTGGAAGCAAGGTGAAAGTCAGCCTGTTCTTTTTGCAATCTGTCAGCTACACTTTTTCATTAAAGAAAATTCACTTTATGGTTTAATGGTTTGTTGCTTTATCCATTACTTGATTGACAAGTCATCAGCAACTGCTTTGATAGGAATGGTTGTCTTCTTTTTGCAGCTTGTCAAATGTAAGGATTTGCAGGTAATTTATTTTACCATCATTCTAAACAGAGTTTTTTTTTAAACCTTTGACCAGACAAAACAAGACATTTGTGGCCATTTTCAATATTTATTGACATTTATAGAAAAGAAAAATGTTTAAGTGCAATAATTCAACATGTAGAACTGCAGCAACTGCACGTTCATTGGTTACAACCTGCACTGGTATATATAAGGTGTATACATCATAAAATAAAGAACCATAGAAAAATGCAGGTATTTAAGAAGAGTAGTCAAACATCATTACTCACACCAAATTACCCACATTTTATTCATAGTTTTAAAACATCCTTAAAACTATCCTTTTAAACTACCTTACATTTTGCACATTATCTGGCCACAACTCAGTTTAATCGCAATACTATAAATGGACTCTACATGGCGCTGTTGCACAAGTAATACTCTCTTGGCCTTGAGTTTCACAGTGACTGTTTTCAACTTTTGACCACTACTATATCATCAGTACCCAAATACTGACTATATGTGACTCACCTGGTCCAAAGTCTCTCCTCCTGGGGGGGTGTAGTCACGACAGGACTGGCCGGCAGCGTTTGCCATGTTCTTCAGATGCTCTTTGGGGTGACCTTCAGCAACACCAAAACCCTGAATTAAACAGACAACCATACTCTTAGAACTCACCAAATAAACTGCTGTAGTACTGCATTATTATATATATTTGGATAAAGTATAAGGCCAATGGATCTCACCCTCTCTCTGAGTAATGGATCCAAAACCATCTCCGTGCCAGAACAATGAGTGTTGTTCCTCCTAATTATTTCAGCCGTCTGAGGGAAGCAGTTATCGTCAATGACTGACTCAATACATTTGTAACCACCCAAAGAAGCAGTCTTGGACAGACTGAAAAATCATTAATACACTGTCAACATCAGTGAGTCAGATACCACAGAGACATGAGTGGTCACACAGCTATGTCATATCCATGCATCCTGTTTTCCTTCTTTTGCTTCATTTTTCTTGGAAAACTATTGTTCATTTTACTGGTGGAACAAAATGATTTGCTAATAATGGAAAATAAGCTACAGATATTTATGGGTAAAGAGATTACTAAGCTAAGACAGGAAAGATTTGAAAGACATACGAAAGAAACCCTAAAAGAATGTACTTTTATTTGTAAGTTAATTATTAGTGTGTCTATTATGAGGTATTTTAATGGGTACCAAACACATTTTCTACATGTTTAAACTCACAAACATTCAAGGATGGATTAACTAATGTCATATGAAAGAATAAAGATCAGGCCCTCAAAGTCTGTACTTTTTCTTCCACTGTCACTTAATCTGTGTGTGATATGTATTCACTTTTAATGGCCAGGTAACTTTCTAATTGAATGAGTGTGACTTACATGTATGGCTCGTTGTAGGTTACTGGAAAACACATAGTTGAATGCGATGTCTCCGAGGTATTTTCCTACGGCCTCAGCCTGCTGCACACCTGTTTCTGACAGAGGTGTGTCCACGCCTTGACCTAAAGAAAACAGAGCTTTTAGTTTCTGCACTAATACTCCTTACAGTGCAAAAAAGTGTTAAGACTATTAAAGAGGGAGTTTTCTGCAACACGTAAGAATATATCTAACATTATAAAACACACATGTTGGACCAGAGCTGTGTCATTGATGGCCAGCTACAATCGTCTCTACCTTGAAATCGGGGGACAAACCCGCAACTACTGTATTCTGTAGAAAAATGTCTAGTTTAAGATAGTTGAAAACATTTTTCAAATCCAGGGATAGTTTGATGCTGTATTTGAAAGCAGCAGTGGATAGCCAATGGCCTTAACATTTGTTAAGGACCTAGCTAAATCTCTTTTAATTTACTTAGCATTATTACAGGTCCAGTCCAGTGTGTAGTATTTAAGTAGATCTCTTAGCACAAATACAATACAAATATTCCTGTTTTCATTCATAAATCACCTGAAACTAAGAATTGTTGTGTTTTTGTCAGCTTAGAATGACCCCTTCACATGAGGGGTCCTGTTGACTACTGCCATGTTTTACGGTAGCCTAGAATGGACAAACCGAACACAGCTCTGTGGAGGGTTTTTCCTCTTTTTTTGTTACCTTAGAGTCATTGCAGTTATTCAACAGGCTTGTCTTAAGGGTGGGGTGAGGGCAGAGGTATTCAGGTTGTTGCAACACACTGACACTTTGAGACCAGGTTTCATATCCTGACAATGTCCACCTACGCAGCAATATAAACATAGCTGTGCAAGGCCCTCAGTAGGTTAAATGGTTGTCTAATGGGGCAGATTCAAAATGTTTTTGTTGTAAATCCATGCTGCTCATTTCTATACAGGTGCTAATGTTTCAACTTACCTTGCAGCAGCTTCTCCTTGTTGTACTGTGTTTCCCCACTGTGAGAAATAAAAGCAATGTCCTTGAATTAGCTCAGCCATATCCACGTAGGCCTGCTTCAAAGCTGACAACAAGGCTTAAGCTATAGCATGGTTAAAACGATTAAAGCACTATGTTCTTGTTTTGTTTCTGTCATTTCTGACAGACATATAGCCACCATGCTAGTTTACACAACTGACAGGACTAACTTTTTATGCAGAATAATGTCACATTTACAATTAATTCATGTCACAGTCGTGGTGTAAAAAAGTGGTGTGAAAATAATCACTTACTGTCGCACGAGGGTTAAACTGAGTGTAAACATTTTCAACGCACTTGCTGTTAGATCCGGGTTAGTCCACCGGCAAATATGTGACGTAATCTTCTTGTTCTTCTTCTTTGCGTCTATTGACAGTTCGCTACACATACTTTAAGGAGCACACCGCCACCTAGTGTATCAGAGTGTGTACAATGAAGGCATCATACTGTCTGAATGATTATAAAAATTAAAAAAGAACGAAAAAGGATTTTTAAATATCAACATATTTTTTCAAATGACACTATTTCTGAATTCTGTCTGTAAGCACAACCTATCAACCCTCTTTGATTCATGAAATTCCTGTCCTGTGCTAAACAGTCAGTTTAAACTAAATGCCTGCCCTGTGCCATGTACTAATCTTTTTTAATGATTTGAGACACAGCCACCTGTGTGATGATGACACAAGAACAGAACCATAGAACATATCTTAATATCTATATTCATAAATGTAAGGTTACAAGTATGTGTACATATGCTACTTGCCTTTCTTCAGGAAAATACTGATGTATATGTTGGAATGCAATACTCACTAGTAAAAATAACTCTTGGTGTTTAAAGACAGGCCTGTGTATTTAATAATTTATCATTTTGGGAGCATCACCTTTCTTTTCAGTGGTTTAGCTGTCATTTTAACAGAAAGGCAGATCTCACTAAAGGCAGAATGCAACGGAATTATTATTATTGCAGATGGGCTGATCTCAGTCTGTGCAGAGGAAAATAAATTAGCCAGTCACATGATTTTAGCCAATTTATTGATGAGAAATTGTTGAGGTACACTGTGTGGTTGCACATGGGGATAGTGGGAGAGGAGTTTGGAAAACAACCACACCGAACAATGATAAAACATTCTTGTGGTTTTAACAGACTGAATGGGTACCTCAAAAATAAACAATATTGCATTTTGTTCCAATGAACTGATCTGAACATGCCAATATTGTGTTTTCTTTCAAATACATGTATACATTACAGTATATATATGTTTGACTTACATGAAACAACCTATTTTAAAGTACAGGCCCTTATAACGGTTCAGTGGAATCTGGGGTCAGACTTTTTTTTTTTAATCAAAGAGAAGATGAACTGTCCTTCTCATCAAGGCTGAAAAAAAGTGAAATCCGTCAACAAGTTCAGAGTGAAAACAACGTTTGTGTTGTAAAGTTTGATGAGGTAATGCGAGATGGACTCTCGCTCTATCCGTCCAAATTAACCTGAGGTACACAAACATAACAAAGAAGCAGCAAGAATATGGTAGAGTATAAAGATACAAATGAAAACATGCTAATCAAAAAAGATCGGCAAAACCAAGTACTTCCAGTCCCGCACCAAACTGTGTTACGTTTCCTCCAGTACACATACAACGGAAAAGCAAAGAAGACTTGTTACATACAACATTTCATAATATAGCAGCACACAAGTGAATCACAATAAGGCATCTTTGTGTAAGACTAGAAAAGAAAAGCTTCATAGCAGCAAGAGAATGATGTGTATAATATAGTTTGTTCTCACTTTGGAATTATCTCTTTCAAATTATACACAAAACCTTTAGAAGCATAAACATGTTTTCTGTTTAAAGCACTTTGAGAAAACAAACATTTGGCTTGTTGCACAACAGAACATGAATAGAATTTAGAAACTACATATCTTTTGTAAAATGTAAAGAGGACTTTTTAGCATTTGTGCTCAAGGGGAAATTGGTTATATAAAGATAAACAGTTCAAACCATTGAAACCCCTACCTCCTATGTCACTAACACTTCAGTTCAGAGAGAGGCTTACATACAAAGAGTGAAAAACAGGAAAAAGAGAGAATATTTTGGACACAATATGCGTGTGACTCTTTGCAATAACTATTGGAAGGTTTGGCTATGAATTAACATAAATTCAAGTAAGGTTAAATAAATGCAAATAATCAAAAAAAAAAGAAGTCTACAAGTGACTTGGCTTTCTTTAGTTGATATTCTATTAAACTATTACACAGATTATCCAACGTCTACTCACCCGTCGGGGCGTAGCTTTCAAGACAATGTGCGTTACCCCATGGGAATCCAGCCCAGAAAAAAAAATTAAAATAACTTAAAGAAAAAAAAAACCCCACTGAACTCTCCTCAACCACCATCCCCCTACCATACCTAAGGAGTGTGTCTTTAAAAGTGCATCAATATTTTTCCAAGTCGCCCACTCTCAAAAAAAGTTAATGGAGAAATTGGTAAAAGGAGAATCTGCAGCAAGACTCATCTGAACCTCACTCATGCAACTGCAAACATGACATAGCTTAAGTTCTTCTCGCCAAGTCGCCATCATTCATCAATCTAGACCTCTGTAGCATCCTCTTTCCATTCCACATGCGTTACTTTTCTTGAAAAACTTCCTTCAACCTGCATCCATTTCCTTCTCCATAAAACTTGCTAAATCTTATTTTCCTTTAGTAACATCAGTACGACCTAGCAGAGGTTAAAATCCCCCTCAAACCATCTACTTAACTCTAATGTGTAGGAGCTAGACTATGAACAATAACAATGTAGCCTCGCTGAATTATATTAACCTACTGCACTGGTCTGTGGATAAGCCAGTTAAATCAAGACCTTAATAGCCGACCTCTGTGTTAACCTTTAACAGTAGCCCCTGCTCCAGACTCAAAGCCCCTCGTGTCCTTCCTCTGTGAGCAGGCCCAGCCCACTCCCGGCTAGCTATTCAGCATAAATAGAAAGCAGTGCTACAGGTGCACAGTATGATAGATAGAGCTCCTCTGATTGGATCTCAGCTTAGTTTAAATGCCATGTACTGTATTATCAGCATTTAAAACTTTACTATGGGCGTTTCCCTGTACAGGGGAAGAAAACCCATACAAACTGAATTGATAACTTCTCTCTATAAGATGATAAAAGAGTGTCATAACTAAATGCTAGCTAGATATGCAATATTTATCATTTATTTTTACTAAGTTGTATCAAAAAAATAAGTATATCTCATATAATTATGCTGTTTTTTTTTTTCAAGTATGAAAATATATTCAGGTTTCCATTCAGGGAAACCTAAGGCACTATCAAGTTTTCCATTTTTTTTCTTCTTACATAGCTTGTTTGGTTACATATCGCCCGTACAAAAGGTGAAAAGCACACCGGGTACAATGGGGCAAAAAAAGGAGAAAAACTAGGAATTTCTTATTTTCTAAAAGTTCATCGATCGTCACACCATCGCTCATGTGGCGCCTTGATGTAGATACTGGCAGCTCATGCGCTCCTGTTTGCCGATGAACTAACATGAGCGGTGCGTGAGAGTCGGGTGGAGTTCATAAGTTGACGTCGCGCACATCTGTGGGGGTGCTGGACTGGTCCTGCTGCTCCCTGGCCTTGCTGCCTGCTCGGATGCTGCTCTCCTGCTGCAGGCTGGTGGTCAGCACGCGCTCTATCTGCTCCTGGCACGCCCTCAGACAGTCCTGGAGCAAAAACGGTAGGACGTTGTTACACACACTTTAAAATTACACCATTGCTACTGTTCAGGGTCCAGGCACCTTTTGGTTGACTTTGTGCATTCATTTTTCTTGTCTTACCCCACCGCATGATATTCCTGTTCTTAAACTAGCTGAGCTACAAGAGTATAAAGCTGCCCAGAACAAAAATTAAAAAAAACATGCAGGTGCCTATAAGAATTGTTTTATCTTTACTACCTCACTAAAAATAAGCTTGTAAGCTTATTATAATTCCTTTTTAATTTGAACTATCTCTTATAACTAATGTAACCTTGTGAATTGAATTCAGACTGGAATGCAAAACGAAGAGTTTAGGCTGTAAAAGTAAAGTTGTCATTGAAAAATAAATGTTGAGTTTCTACTGTCTAGTCTACGTATGCCTTTATAATAAGCTTAAGTTTTAAAAATGCCTTTCAAAGAAAAAAAAGGTTATGGTCTACAGAAAAAAGTTAGATTGTGTCAAAGCCCAAATCATCGCTTTCAACTCCAAGTTTCTGTCTACATGAAAGATTAATAAAGTTATGTAACTTTAAATAAAACATGCCCCCTGTATTCACCCATTAAAAGGGTGTTTAATCTGTACACCCGTCTGCGGACCCTGGTGTTCAAAAACCTGGTTTTTGATGTGCGAATTGTTCAACAGCTTTGGTCACATGCATGGCATACCAGCAGGGAATTATGTGAGTTGAGGTAGGTGGTCCTGTCTGCACCCGGACAATGGTACCAGCACCCTGCAATACTAACACACTGCAGCAAGTCCTCTCTGACACGGGACCTGTGCATGTCTGAGGCACCAATACAGAGGGAATGTGAAGGGGGCACTACCTCTGTGGTCTGTCCGGGAACAGATAAGCAGATCTGGTAGCCCCCCCCTCACCCCCCTTTGGGTTTAAAGCACGGTCAGCCCCATGTGGAGGTCTAGAGGAAATGGCTTTGACCTTCTGCACCCTGAACCTCTGAGATTTGGTGTAAAACAGAATATAGGACAGTCGGGCCGGATGTTTTTGGACAACTTCTCCAGTGAAAGGGGATCCTCTGTGTCTGTGCCCCTCTGGAGGAACATGTGGGAGGTCTGCTTACTGAGCCGGCTGCAGGACTCTTTAAAGACTGAACCGAGGCTCACAAAGAGGCCCGCATTCCTTTGAAATGTACGAATAATTGGAACCCCATGGGCTGCAGTCGGAGCGCCCGTTGTGACGGCCGGGTTTGCGGGGTGCTCGTCACCGTGGCAACGTAACCACAAGCTAAGAGGTGCACCGTGTTGTTCCTGTGGCACATTGGCTGCGGTCTGTTTGGATTTCTACGCTTCTGAACTGGTGTGCTGGTGTAACAAGGACTCACTTTGGCAATGAAAGCACACGCTTGGATGTTGGTATAGTTTAAGATGGTTTGATGTGTCGAATTACTCTGTATGCAGTTTCTTTTCTTAGCAATTATAATGTATTATTTAAAAATCGGTTGCTATGGATATTACAGTATACTGTACAAACTCCAATAAAATCTCCAAATAGTTATTATTGGATATCGATTACCAGTACCAAAATTCATTAGGGTGACATTTAAAGTCGTTTTTATGACTTTTATATATAACATAA